TTCTTATTAATTGTGCCAGTGCCACCCCCAAAGCGAATTAGCTTTCGGTAAACATCCGTCTAAGGCCAAACTCGCACGATTTCCCACCTAGGGCCGCATTGTCGCAGACTTTATAAGATTGGAGACGGATAAGTTTTCGTCACCTGGCGCATGAATTTGCTATCGACGGCGGAAACTTTCCGGTAACGCTGCGATGCGGCTTTCTTAATCTAGCTACCATTGTGAAGGTGTTGCGCACACGTACAAGAAACTTTCAGAGTGGTCCCCGCTCAGGCAGCGCTTTTGTTTAATTCGTTCTTTTTCCACTACAGCCGCCATCTTGGCACTTAGTCGTTTTATTTTAATTAACGCGCTTAAGTTGATACCTCGTCGCTTTTTTCTTTATTAAATTAGTCTATTTGCACACCAAGGCAGCAGCGATCTTCGCTTCTCTTCGCATGATTTATGCATTCGACGGTGGCGCTAATATTAAAGAAATGCTAATTTATGCGTTTCGTAATTTATGACCCGCAATCAATATTTATGCGTTGCGGCCAAAAACAAGCTGGGGCCAAGACCCGACAGAGAGACGGTTTTAAAATTCATACGCACGCGGAATCCAAGAATATGGCACATGACTGGTAATGGCGGATAAAAACGATCCGATGGCGGATAACGCGTGCTTTGGTTAAACATCCGTGACTATATAGGCACACGCTCGTTAATAATACAACGGTTCATTAATGCCGCGCAACGGTAGTTTTAAATTAAACATTACACTCAACCGATAGCTGGTACTAAGCGAGAAACACGCAATACGGATGGATACCATTCTTGTTTAACAAAAAAAAATTTAAAAACCTTCGAGTCGACATAAAATTCCGGAAATATCAGTAGATACATCTTCAGTGATAATAAAACCTAACATTCTTTAATTTTTGAAAAATTAAGTTTATTGAAATGAAATTTTGCGTAGTCGATCATCAGCATTCCTTTTATTTGGCATGAACAAAAGCTAATAAATATTTTTTTGTTGTAGAATTTCATTGCGTTGAATTTACGAGTAACTTTTCGTGTGCACCGCTATAAATATTGATCGAAAAATTGCAACCAAGCGAGTTTGAGTTATGAAATTAGTTCCAGCTTAATTGCGGCTTTCACGATCGAATGCTACCCGCTAGTACGCGCGTTGTCGGCGAATCAAACCAGGGCGTGTGCGCGGTGATTAAATTCCTTGCATTTGCGAAAAACAAGCGCACCGAAATCAAACTAAAATTTCGCACAAGTAGGGCGGTAGAAAAATTTCCCACGGATGAATTTTTCGGCACTCAAAGTGGAATGCACTTGCAATAGCTCCTGCGACAATGCGAAACGGTGCGGTGCGACGAATGGCAGCTTTATCACATCGACCGATCTACTATAACTGAATTAGAAGTGGATGATTTATGCCGACGCGTTCGCTCTATTTCAAACAAAGAACATTTATCCTTAAAAAGTTATTTTAACTTATGTTTGACAAGCGTAATCTGCCAAAATCTGAAGGCGTTCCGTTCCGGTGGCGGCTTAGCCGCTTTATCTGCGATCAGGTATACACCGAATGCCAACGCCAACGCAGCCCAGCGCGCCTTCAAAGCAAAGTTTTCCAAACGTTTGCCGCAACGATAAGGCGATATCGGCGCGCGTCCGTGTGACGGGCGGACTCTCGAGGGTGGTGCAGTAAAACAGAGTTGAAAAGTAAAAAAAAAAAAGAAAAGAACTCGAAGAACGTTTGAAGCACCAGAAAGGAAAACTGGATGCGCGGCCGTATCACGTCCGTAAAGCTGGCCGCTTTTAATAAACTCAGCAATCAGAGTGGAATATCGTTCCGGATCAAAACAAACAAACAGATGCGACCAAAAAGAACCAAGTGTCCGACGCCTAATGCAGGGTGACCGACCCTCGAATATCGAACGCGATCGAATGATGTAGAGCCCATTCATTCCGATAACTTTCTGCGCTCTAGCGGCGATTATGGCCGCGTAATCCGTACTTTCAAGTTTTCCCAGATTTCTCTGGGGCGTGTTGGCCCCCCACCGGAATCCGCTAACATATGACTGACATGAAATAATACGCTCCGGCGAATTGTTGATGCAGTTTTGCCGCGCATACCGCGCTCCTGCTTAAAATATTAATTTAATATCGTGCATAATAATAATCCGACGTCTCACGCGATGGCCGTGCAAGCCGACACCATGTTAGCATTTTTCGACCAGCCAGACAGAATGCAGGAGTTGTACAAAATGACTTAATAAGGGTTAAGCCGGTGGCTTGCATTTGCAGCAAACAGCAGAACGCAAACCTCATTTGTTTCGTTTGTATCTCGACAGCGTACAACTTTTTTGAGTTGCGCATACCTTGTTGGAATTATGAGCGATTTCGTTCGTAATGTGGTGCATGCTTCCATGCACATAAAACACATCAATTTCTGCAGAACCTAGCATTAAGTATTCCGTCATCATTATATACCTGGCATGCATTTGGTGAGTTTATTAGTTTAGCAGAATAAATCGGTTTATGCTGACTTTTTTAATGTCATTAATTCGCACTTGTGGCATGAAAATGTCATGGAAATTGTTTTGATGTAGGTATGAAATTTCCTAATTGAAAAATGCTTGCAACGGTGAGCAGAGGAGGAGTATAAATGCGCCCGAGTTATATTTCGTTAATATCCGTTCAATCTAGAATGCATCCTGGCAGGGAGGAAAAACAAATATCCTGATAAACGTTCGATCCTGAAAACTCTCTCCGTCAACGTGGTGGTGTATTGGCGTTCTGGTTTGCTTGCGGCGTTTTGTGGATTGAAAAATATCATGGATCTACTTGCATACACAACCACAAAGTGGACAGTGAGAAGAGGAGAATTTTGATCTTATAGCGATAAGCTAAAATTGCAAGACACGGGCTAAACATGTCAGTCAAGCAGTTGACCAGCAGAAAAATATAGCATCGTTGCAGTTTTACAACAAAAATTGTAAAACTATATCGATGCTTCTTTGCTGTCGCGTAAATGTCTATATAAATATTTTCTTGGGTTGACGGCACGCGCAGTGGCTTTATGTAAAAGAAAAGTATCGATAACCGAGGCAGTAGAAAAATATTTTCCTTCTAAACGCGGCGAGTAAATTAAATTTGATCGATTACTCGGACGTCAATAATTTTATTGGTCAGGGAATTTGCAATTGAAGCTATATTAATTTAATATTTTTCAAAATATTTCTATAGATATTTCTCTGTAGTATACCAGCAAACAGGTTCAAAAGCATTGTTGATTTACACCTGAGCTCAGCCAAGTTTTAATTTCTCTAGAGGTTGTTTTCTAAATTGCTCCACAAAGCAGCCAAAGCACGATATTAATTAGTTACCGCCGGAGTTTCTACCAACAATGCAGCCGTTTGAAATCATTGAAAGTTAATAGTTGTTTGAATGTGATTTTTCATCTCATGGATTGTGCGCAGTGCAAGAGTACTTTCACAATACCTAAACAAGTTACAAGTGGACTGTATGAGTGCACCCAGGTTTCGCGATTTTTTACCTCAAAGATTAAACAACATAAAAACAAACAACAATGCATAAATTGTAAACAAAGTTTTAGCGGAAATAAAATTAGAGTGGCCATACGTGGTATAAAAATTGCGGGCCTGATTGCTACACGGTACGATGAACTGTGATAAAGTTAAAGCGCATGAATACTTTTTTTAGTATGAAGTAGTTATACACTACAAATGTGAATACAATTTCATCAAACCAAATGGTATTCAATGTTTATTATCGCGATAATATTCTTTGTTGATTCAATCCCTACTAATATTATAAATGCGAAAGTCCTGATGTTTGTTACACTTTGACGCAAAAACTACTTAACCGATCATCATGAAAACTTGTACACACATTCTTAGTGGTCCCCGAATGGTTATAGGCTACTTTTTATTTAATAAAAAAAAATATTTTTTAAATAAAATAAAGAAATTGTTTAGCCAATAATACCTCTGCATCTGGTTATTTGACTACTTTAACGCCATCTAGCATTCCAGCAATGAAGCTCAAACCTAAGTACTATAGTACCATCACACTGTATTATCACACTGTATTACCGACAGCTACGTCAACATCAAATCCAATTGACTACACTATGGAGACTGTACACTATACTTCCATAGACTATACTTTCTGCCATTTTAAACTTCCCGCCATTCTACTTCATTGTTACTTCTTCTGTGACTACAGACGCGTACGGAAGCAACTTCATTATTTTAGATATTCGCGAGCGAAGCCAAGGGTTAAAGCTAGTATTCTATATTCTCTTAAGCCACCGATGGATTGATTTTGAGGTGTTGGTCAAAATGCGCGCCCCCATTGAAAAGCACCAAAAAAAAAACTTTAAAAAGTCCAAAAAACGATGTCTTTGGATTCCAAGGCCGACAACGTAATTTTTGCATGATTCCTATCTCCGTGGATCGGCCATTTTTGGCCGCTGCCGGTCGCCGGCTTATATCGGCGATCCGTGGGCCCGAAACGTCCCTCTTCAGGAGTATCCGATAGGAATCGTATTATGTCGGACGCGCGTGCATGCGATAGATGTAAGCGACGCTTGTTGAAAGCTATTCGAAATTGTATTAAGCCGGCGCGCAGGAAACTCGCATGTATCGGCGGCATGTACACGTATTCGGCCGCTTTTCGGCACAGTGGTGGCAGTGTAAAGATATTCTGGAGCAAGACATGTGCAGAATGTAAATCAGATTCGATTCAACAATGGCGGCGCGCAAGTTTCGGCTGCACTACGATGCGCTCTATCGGAACCCGCTTTCGCATCGTAATCCTCTGTTGAGTCTATTTTACTATGCATGGACGTCAACACCATACAACACAAACGCATATTTTTAATTAGTTTAGGATAAAGATTAAGAATTTTCGCTTAGATATTGTCTCCTAGGACGTGGAATTGCATTCGTGACATAGTTGTAATGCGCAATTAATTCACTTACCTTGTGTGTATGATGTAATGCGTGATCGGACTATGATGGGTGTCTTGCGAGGGTGCCCAGGAGACGTTGACCGAGCGGGACGTAAAGCTCATGATGAGCGGCCGGCCAGGCGGATCGGGCACATCTGAAACATAAAGGACGCACATGCATAAGCAATACACACCAACCATTACCCACCGCATAAAGCGCAATATAAGCTACCCCATACAATATTGTAACCAGCAGTAACAATCCGCTACTGTTCGTTAAACGCTGCTTCCGCCACGGTCATTACCACACGAAACAATTTATTTACAGTGCGTTTCCTAATCGATATAAGTTACTAAATGCATCAGGTGAGAGAAAGCTATGTTCAACTATGAGGCATTATGATGGAGAAGTAATTTTTTTTCTGCATTTGCCTGAAGTATACCTCCGGGTTTTTTTAACATACGAGTGGGTTAGGATGCTGCGCGCTCTTTCATTATCCGAGAAAACATCTCCGGACATGTGTTCCCCACGGTTGTAACACGAACGAATAAGATAGGATGACTCGCCTTTTATCCGCTCCGTTATAAAATCTATTCGCATTTCTCGAATACCCGTAAACACAAGCTCTATCGCAATTTACTATTACAAAATCAATATTCCCTCGAGCGCAAGCTTTTTTCATTCCTTGTGCGAGTTTCTTTTGGTTATCGTACATGCTGTCCAAGGAGAATAAACCACTGTTCGGTGCTACAATCTCGTTTGGACAAAGCAAATTGCCTGAATTACACACCAAAACAAAAAATCCGTTTTTTAGTATTTTAAAGAAGTTAAAAAAATAGTATATTTTTAATCTGCATGAAACCTAATGGAAAGTGAGTACCATTTTAGTATGCATTGCCGCCCTTGAGTGCTTGCCATGTTAAAACCCGATAAGGGCAGGGACACTAAAAAATCTAATCTCGGGAACTACGTGTTAAGCCTACCGATCGACGCCCAGGACGCCCTGAGGGCATCTTCGCATTGTCGGGAACGTAATTCTTAAATCTCCTTGACCATGCGACTATCCACAGGCGATTGGTTTTCATTCCGGCACGGATATGTAAATTTGTGGCCGGATCTGCACTCAGTGAAAACAAGTAACGTGCGCCGCCGTCCGACTGGAACAACCGGAAGGACAACTCACGCGTTCGCCCGTACTTAAAGGGCGCTGCCGTGCGGAATAACCTTCTGTGTAGTTAATTCCGCCATTGGGGCGAGCAGCTTAACACCTCATTTCATGTTTCATGCATTTAAACGAAATCAAAGAACAATGGAGACTCTGGCGTGGTTGCAGCGCGGACGTTTACGGTTATGACGGCCATTCGGCGCACTGCGTTCGAATATTGGCGAGAAATGTGTGTTTCAACGTACACGCGGCGTGCTAATCCCATCGTCGGGTTGGATTAAAACTAAATGCAGCCGGCTTAGGCGAGGAGGTCTGATGGACGATCGTTTTGCGAATTCGGCGCTCGTTTTAAACGATTCATAAACGATCTAACTATTTATATTTAGTCACTAAAATATTTTCATGCACTTCGGATGTACTCGTATTTTAACAGCAGATGGTTGGATATTTCCTGTGAATGCGAGGAGACAATATAACTCGCCACTCTAATAGATGCATATTCTATTTTCATGCATTTGGAATTCTGAACAAGTAAGCGATATATTACAGAGACGATGTTGTTCTGTGAATATTTAAATTCAACAGAAAATGGCAACCGACGAGTATTATTCCATTTATATGGAAAAATATACGAAAAATCAATACATTTTAAGTTTTTTTTCTTGAGGATAAATCAATTAAATTTTATTATTTTTTGCGCACTCTGTATAAGATAAAGGACATTGCATTAATAGTATCGACCCAGGGAAAGATCTGAAGGAAAGATAGAAATGACTGAGTGACTTGGTTCGTGTTAAGAACGAGTCCCCGCTATTCAGTTCATTTTTTACTCTGCCTTCCGACAGTTTGGCTAAAGTGAGATCATCGAGCGTGGTTTTTGCACAAATACACTATTCCTACCGAATATAGTGTTCAATACCAAACCGAACAAAGAAAAACCACCAACAAAAAAATTTCTACACAAATTTTCCAAATTCTACTTGAAATTAAAGTAAATTTACTAAATATTGAACTGAATATCTGAACCAAACGTCAAGAAAAATAAAAAAAAAAACAAAGAAAATCGCATGAATTACGAATTCTTGAATTTTGTTCATGTTTGCATCATATAAACGTCCATCAAACCTTCATATATAATAAAAGCATTTTTTATACAAACAAATACGGCACGTGCTCCAATAGAATACGTTTATATACTACCATCATATTGGCATGTGTTTCGAATCTTGTTGGCGCTGATATAAAACACGAACTTATCTTCTGTTCGGTGTCGCTTATATACAAGTACTTGCCCGGCGCCTCCACCGCGTGTTATTTCAAAGTTATCTTTACGTATGCTGGTTGACTGTCAAAGGAAAGCTCAAATTTTATCCAACTAATATTTACTGCAGTTAGTATGACACAAAATCAAGTGATATTTAATTATTCCTGACATTTACCAAGAAAATTAGCTTAGAATATAGATAATCTTCATGTTTAAATGTTGTTTTCATATCAGTACATTGTTGTTCTATGCTAAAACATCATTCTCTGTCGAGATCACTTCATATAGCAATTACGGGCGGTATCATAATTAAATTTCCGTGTATTCGACGCTGTTGAATCTATGACAGAGGTGAAGCAAAAGGTGTGATCGGCAACCTTGTAGCATGTAGATCAATGTTCTCTCTTACACACTCGTAACTTAATGCTGTAGAGTAAAGAAAACGAACTCGTACATATTTCAGAAGCGCATAAAAGTAGGCAAACAGGCCGCGAATACATGTACGCAAACTAGCAATCGTCGTTTCAGTCCTTTTTGGACCTTTTTGCGCACCGTTATGGCCGCCTTGAGTACCAGCCCCTTCGTGTTTATAGATTGCATTTTACGAGGAGTCGCGACTATTAACACAATGTATACTCATGTTATTTGCATCTGCTTTTCGTGCTTACGTCAGGTGAAGGTGCTCGATATATATGCCTTCTATTTCTCTTATTATCCTTTCTATTTATGTACTGCTTGAATGAATTGCATGTCCCCCAAAAAAATGTCATAAAATGGAACAAACATTCATTAAAAGTCTCCAACTTTGTACGCTAGCTAGGGATCATATATAGGAGTAAAGCTAACACACAGAGATATTTGGCAGTGTAGGAATTAAGTTGTTGGGAGTATGCGTGCTTGTGCTTACATCGCATCTGATTGTGGCGCGCGCTCAACGTTCTGCCCTACATTTTTACATAAAACCACAATTTTTCCGACCGGGCGGTGAATTCAGAACGCGCCCAATTTGGTATGGCCTGTGTTGCCATTGGGGACGCGATGCGCTAGGGCTCTGAGGCAGCATTTAATGATGAAGTTGCAATCGATTTTTCTGAACTTCGATATACATATCCCTTTGTCAATCCAACCTGTTCATATTTTTTTGTGAAAATGTGTATAACACACAGATATATTATCTTCAATCTTATTACGTTATTGAAAATAGATATACCTTTATTTGTTCATTACCTATCGACATTTTTATATAAAAAAAAAAACAATAAAAAACTATGACATTATAAGAGTGATGAATGTAACCTATTCATGAAAGTTGAATGCATGTGGCAATCACAATCTCATTTTCTTTATTTATTTAATGAGCAGTTTATATCCCTGATGCATTTTTGCTAACGACGCCCAAGATATTTAACTATGAACTAAACACAGCTAACAGGGAATAATAGCAGCTGTAAGATAAGCATCAAATTTTTTCTATGTTGAAGAACCTTCCCGGAAACTTGTACCGGTTCATTGAATATGCAAATCCCAAGTTTATCTATTAACAAACTGATATTGATGTTATTGAAACCGATACAAATTTAATTCAAATATTCCGTGGGAAGGTACGGGCGGATAGTTTTGGAGAAACGATGTCGACGCTAAGTTAAATATGTGATGACGACGAAACATAGAGATGGCGGCTGTCGGCGGCCATACCCCAGCGAGTCGATCTCACGGTAAATTTAATATTTCAGTCGCAGCCAGTGGTTCGCAAGCGCATTGTGCAAAAGCATAGACAAGCAATCGGCGCATATGTGTCGCAGTGTGGCAGTGTGTCGTTTTAAAAATTTCCAAACAACCGAGGCTTGTGTTTATCACGCAATCGATTTGTCACGGGCGCAAACTATCGAATAACAACACAACAGGGAAAGCACCATGCTGGTAAAATTTCTTCTAGTAAATATATAATGAAGGAATATTTTCTGTTGCAGAAATCAACTGTTTTTCACCGGACAAAATGTTTTAAAAAAGTTTCTTTGCAAGGCCGATGATCATTTCACGCTACATTTGCTCTAAAACCTTCCTATAATGGTTGCAGAAGGACGCTATGAAACTAATACCAAAGCATTGGTTCATGTTCGTAATAGAAAAATGTTGGTAGTACGTTGTCGCCATAAACACCTATATATCTTGCGCCGTGGATATAGGCACACGACTTGCGAAAAACTCCACTTCTGCGAGAAGTTTGTGAGTTTAATTGCGTTCACACACTGCTGGCACGCAAGGGCGGCAACACCGAGTGCCACGCGTATCCGCAGCACCCCCAAACGTCAGAAAGTAACTTATTTAGAACAATTTTTAAAGTTATGCTGTCGGCCTCAGACTCGATTTAACTTACGAGCTTAGTTTTGCTGCTGTGCGAGATTTTTAAAAATCAATAAAACTTTCGATATTCGTTTTTGATATAAATTCGAAAAGTTTTTTCCCTCCATTCCGCCACTTTTTGCATTCTGTTTATTCCCACCAGAGCTAAACCACGCACGCCTAGCGGAGATATATTATCGGTGGAATAATATTGATGTTTTCCAACGGTATGGACGCAATTCGCTAGGAATGATTGATCTGTGAATCGACGGCTTAATAGTAGCTACTATGTTTGTAAATGATTTACACTTTAGTTGGAATGTTGTATGATTTGACAATTTTAAATGGTTAAATGTTGAATAAACGATAAAAACATTTAAAATATGAACGGAGGTGGAAATAATTAGAACAAGGGCTATGAACGTGGGCGAAATCACTTTTCCTGGAACGAAAATCAGTGAATCACGTGCGAAGCGCAGAAAAAGCGAAGGATCAGCCATAATACCCCATTTATTTATCCCGGACAAGCGGAAAAAAAAGAAGGATGTAATAAAGTGGTTCATTTGGCAAACGGCCAATGCAAGCGATCGAGCGGCATGAATCCTCGCTTGAGGACAGCGTTTTTCCCTTCTGGAAGCCTCTGTGTATACGCACATGTCGACGCATTACGCCCGAGTACGCGCTAGTAACGCTAATGAACACAATTAACCTTGTACGATGAGGCGCACCAAAGCGTCCGGCTTCGGCCGACTGTTCACCAGACACACGTAGTCGCCGCTGTCTTCGGCCATCGCCGGATGGAACGTGAGACCGAACGTGTCCGTTAGCAGTGAGATGCGATGCTGGTTCACCCACACCGTTGTCGAGTCCTTCATGTACTCGACAACCTTTTGGTTGTTGTTCGCCACCGAGAGCCATTCCAGTGCGTGCACCAAGGAATGCTCGTTCACGCCGGGGCACGACAGCGACTTATTCTCGCCGGCTTTGATGACAACCCGGTGAATCGGCAGCGCGGTGAAATCTGCAAACACAAGAAGAGACATTTTAGTCAAAAGTTGCAGAGCCACAGGATGAGGACATTTGCTTGCATGCATACAAACAAGTTGCATTTGTGAATAATCACAAAACACAGCTTGGAGTTTTAACCCTGTGTGTGTGATATTTTCCGACGACAAGGCAGCGAGATTTAAAGCGTGCGCCCCGTTTAAATTCAACCGGAACGATCCCGAAGGTGTAATCTATTCGTTACGGCAGCCATGTCTACATGGCGTATTACATAAAAACGAGAAAGAAACAAAGTGACCAGATGCGTGTGTGAGTGAATGCGTTTATGAAATATGATAGGTCCCAATGTGCTTATTTATATACGTGTGTCGTTCCGGGTCGCGCGCCTCCACCACCGGCTCCGAATCCTAAGTACATTAATATCGTAGCAGGTCACACGTGATATCAAATGTTTGCGGGGCGGTAGTGAGGTGCGACCGCATTTATAACAATAACAAATATTGGTGAAACCTTTCGCATTTCTTTTCACGACGCACACACATCTCATATTCCCATGCCTGTCATATGATGACAGGAAACATATTTTCAAATTCTATTCCATTCTGAGCGATATGGTTTTGAATTCAGTTATTTCATTACGCTGCTTTTATTATCTCCTTTGTCTCATGGCATCAGAGAAAATAAGTGCGCATTTTTGGGGAGACATCTAAATTTGTTTTACGTCCGAATGCGCTGTGTTGAAATGAAAGATGATAAATTCCGCTGGAACTAATATCATCGAGATAAATATACTCCCGTTGAAATAATAAATTATTTCGGTGTCGTGGAAACAAAGTATCCACCGAGTCCGGCATTTATTAATAAGCATTGCTCAGCGTTTTGTTTTTTGCTGTGCCACCCCCGGATATATGCCTATATATACATTCCAGAGTATCCAACAGTTCAAAAATGTACATTTCAATACAAGAACACCCGAAACAAACGCGAGAGCTTATAAATCTCGTCGTCCCTGGATTCAAATTCGAATGCGAATGAAACAATTAAAAGCATTTTTGCATGTGAAACTTCCAAAAGGATTTTCAATTGATCCGAGCGGGAATATTCGTGTTGGTGGCCCGTCGACGTATTTTGCGGTGCCGTGGAACCTTCATTCATTTGATTCAATTAAACTGACTGGCTAAGACGTTTGCGCGCCATTCCAGCGACGCCGCCGACGCACGTTCCCACCCCTAGCGGAATCAATTAATCATTAACCGCGCCACGGACGTCGGTGTATGTGGTATGTGTCGGTTACGTCTGATATTGGATTCTCGTCCTCGCCACTGGCGCCCCGTGCAATTAGAATTTGCTTAAAGCATTTCATTTACTGTTTCATCACAAATTCTTCCAAAAATTATACGAATTTTAAACCACAGTCACATTTTTTTTCATTTAATGTCTTTTAATCGATGAATGACAACTTTATACATATACACAAAATTAGAGTTCGTAAGGGTCTGGCTCTGCGGGCACAAAACAATCTTGTGTTACGCTGAAGTTTCTCCCAAGCCACTTAAATGGCGCGCCGCGTTTATTAATTAATTCCTTTCGTATCTGGCGCGACTATCTATCGCATTGTAGAGCGCCGCATGTGACTTTCGCAGTTTCGATAAACACGCAATAAAGTTTCCGCTCGCGATATTGTTGAATATGGCCAAACTTTGACGACGCGATATTAGCTCGCGTTCGCGTTCACGCCGAATTGCCGAATGCCAGCAGCGAACAACCAATTCAGAAGTACTAGGTATTATATTACCAACCGAATGGCATGTGTTATCGATTGACTTTGATAAATATGCGAAGACTCATTAATAATATTAACGTTATTCGAGCATTATTCATTACGACTCGATATGTTGAAGTGGTAATCTGTAATGATACTTGTTCGTCTGTGCGCTTTGGGCACTTTTCGAACTCTCCCACCTTTACTTTTCGCGGTATACAATCAATAGCGGGCTCTATGTGCATGTGTCTGCGTAGAATCAAACAAAAATACACAATGAAAGGTGTAATAAAAGGTGGAGATTCAATCAAAGTTATATTTATATTATTCACATCGAGATGGCGGTAAAGTTACGTATTTTTATTTATTTTCATAAAAATTGACGAATTTAGATTAAAATAAATCAGAGAAACAAAAATTACTTATTTAGGTTACTTTTAGACGCAGTTGGGAGCAAAAATTGATATCTACGAGTAATAAACTGAAGTTTCTTTATATTTACTTCGTGTAGTTTAAGAAATCACTTATCAATTTTTTCCTGAGCGCAACTTTATTGCAGCGCAACATGTACGATGATATCGTGGGTATTATATGACTCAAGTGCGTTTCTGTTGAGAATTTAATAAATATTCCAGGTTAAGCACTCCTGCTGCATGAGCTGCACAAAAGTAGCAGTCGTACTTTTAAATTTGAAAAGCGCACACTTTATATATCGTAGCTGCATTAAACAGCTCATCCGCGGTGACTGACTATATGATACTTAAAAAACAATTACGTTTGATCTTTGTTCATGTATTAATATCATCCGCTCCAATTGATTTATATGCGTGATGCATAGAAACTGAAAAATTAAAAATGTGTACTCATTGTAATGAGTGTAACTGTCGGGTGATTCAAACGTTGGTGATTCCTCTCGGTAAGACGCATAGTGCGACAAAGAAATCGCCAACGCGAGCCATATTGAATGTCGTCCGTCGACGACGGCTTTCATTATCGTCAAACGCGCGCACCTCGCGCCGCAAAGCTTTTTTAATGAACGTCAAGTCCGGCCATGCAATGATAAACCTCAACATTCAGATATTCATCCAACATAAAGAGACGTATACATAAAACCAGCACCCGAGTATTATGTTTTTGTACTGTTACTCTTTATTCGAGTTTAAATAAAATATTTTCAAAACATATCATCTCTTCGCCGGCCCAATGGGATACTTTTTTCCGGGCTGCTGTGGTCCAGCACGTTGCACTCATTCATTTCTGCTTGCATGCAAATGCCGGCCAATTTTAAATCTGTTTATATAGAAAGTAATTACAAACATCTGTGCATTATATCCAGCTTTAGTTTACTCGGGGCAAATAGACGCAAGCCTGTGGCGAAGCCTGGCTGTTATGTGTCAGTCCGACAATTTTGCTGCAGTTTTACCCAATTTGTGATTAAGCATTGCGACGCGCGCCGCCCGCTCTGCTGGGTCTGTCAGTGTTCATATCAAAGGGTTGTCAGAGTCGGGCGCCAAAAGTAAACGAGCCGCACAAAGGACACTGGTTGACATCACGTGCATGCGCCCGCCGAATAAATTCGCTATTTTCATATCGCGCACTGAATTTTGTAAAATATTTCGAAATAATTGTGTTTTTGGATGCATGTTAATTACCATATTTTTTCCTCTTTATTGAAAGTATGAATTTATTTTGTTTTGAAATCGAAAAAAATGCTGAAAATCATCAATGTCATAATGATGTTTTTTAGATTATGCAATTACACACCCGAACGACGTAACGAGCGTTCGAGTATTTGGTCATGCTCGCGCTTGTTTATCGTGAAAGGGGTGCGCGCTCAAACTTAATTACAGTCTCGTTTAATTCCGTTATTTGGCGTTGAATCGTCGCAGGAAATTATTGAAATGTCGGTATAAATTGCGTAATGATATATGTCGTGCCGTAAGCGCTCTTTGGTCGTAATTGCGCAGCGGCGTGGTCGATGCCTAAATGGCTGGGGTGAGCGCCGTTTTAATGGATATACTGCTCGTGGCCTATTAGAAGGACGCGACTTTCGGCGTTTAGAAATAAAGTTGCGCACCAAGGAAACATTTCGCATAAAAATTTAATTTAATTGCTACGTTTCTTCAGGCTTTTTTCGTTGCCATATTGTTTTCTGTGTTCTTTTTACGGGTATTGTGCTCAGGATTGCCACATTTGCGGAATGTCAAATGTAATAACGTAAGTGTAAACCTTATCCCCGGCGTTGTTTACTTAGCTCGCATCGCTCGTGTTGTAAAAGAAAAAAGATACATTGGGAGCGCACATGCTGTGAAAACACACGTATATTATGGAGACAAGTGGCCCGGAAAGTTACTGGAAGTACGCTTGATATAGGTGAGAGTGAAGAAACGTGCAGAATTATTGCTTCGAATGCTAGCTACCACTGTTGCACTGGCAAATGGCAAACCCGGAGCACAACCCCCCATTCCCTAACAACGTGCGCATAGAAACTCAATTCGGCCCAAGAAGCAGTCGCCAAAACTTAATACATGACGCGGATACGAAAATAAATATACCTCATGCTCGAATGCGCCATTCGGCGTTACCCTCTGTTTAATAGAAATTTCTCATCGCGTTATTCCACCGCGCGCTGATAACGCAGATATCGCTTAATTTATAGAGTGTCTCCTTGAGGGGCGACCACTCGTACATTCCGCATTTTTCTTATCATTTAATGTACCGGCAATAAAAATCTAGTCCGCCATTAAAATAATGGCGGTGGCCCAAAACGATGAGAGACATTATTATTCTCCCTGGTCGTCTTCAGCAGAGAAAAACCTGCATTGGACGCAAATAATAAACAAACATAATGTGTTTATATCTTCGATCGCATTTCCTACATCACACAATGTAATAAATCGCTGTATAAGAAACTTTTCTATTTGATTGTTTAGAAATATCACGAAAAATTTTAAATCCTACAAACAAAACAAAGAAAATTTTCTCTTGCTGAAGATTTACGAATAGAAGTGCGGCGATTTAATGTAACTTTAATTACATGCAATTGGCGGTCGCGTTTATCGACGCCACTATATCATCTCGAAGAATGAAATCGATTTTAAGCGCGCGCGGCGCGCGCGACACTCACAACTACACCAACGCTCGCCGCAAACTTAAATTAATTAAAATATGATTGTTATAGCAATAAGCTTCGCGTGCATTCGTTTATCTTGCTCCCTTCAGGCAGACCCTAACTGTACTCTAATTAATTTTAT